GAGCTTTATTCATTGATAGAACAGAAAGTTTCTCTCACTTCGTTCGCTCATGTACTCAAATACATATATTCATTCATTCGACCAAGACATCAACTGTTGCTGCTATGGAAGCAACAGGACCCCACCCTACAACCTACACGTGGCAGAGACAGCAGCATCAGAGTCCCATTTCTAAAAAGGGCAAAGTACCAAGTAAAAACTTATATACATATAAACGTTTGTATGTATGTAGTATGTGTATTTGTCTGCGCTATGAACTGGAAAGTTCGAGTTGCTGTTGTTTGTTGTCCATGTTGCAGAGAGAGTTTTAACGAAAATTAGGCAATGCCCATCAAGAAATGTTTATGTAAATATTCTTTCCTTATTTTTTCGAGTTTTAGTAATTTAGGTATGAATGTTAAAACTCGAGTTGCAGAACTAATATTATTATTAAATTAGTTTCAATCGAATTTTAATTTAGCTGCTCTAGCACTGAAGAGTTCATTATTTAAATAGTTTTCCTTAAGATAATGCAAGGAGAAACGCAAACGAAACAGAGAGTTCTGATGGAAAAAGCACAAAGGATCTGTCATTCATAAAAGTTCATGAAATGAACGATTTCTTTCAGTGTCGCGTCCTAGTCAATATTTCTTTGAACTAAGTAGGCGTTTAATCGCATCTATGCTGGGCGCTTCCGCTCACGCATTTCCAACGAAATTTAATGGGAACCAAACAAAAATCAACAACACAGCTAAACAGATGCGACCCAAACGCCCAAGATGCCAACCTAGCATTACAAATCAACAACAAGTTAAGGAGCCTTAAAATGTGGTGCTTGTTAGAAATATTTCTAGTATTGACACTCATAGCTTTCATATGATTTGTTTTTGTTTTCATAACTTTGTTTGTTTTGTTTTTCATTGCTTTCATACCTTTGCGCATAAATATTTTAGCATTTGTAATTGATGCTAAACTTTGACCTTTAAATGTCAAATGGTTTTATCATTTTTGTGTCTCCGGCTCGGCAGTCGTTGCAAGCCAAAGAATATTGAGGTCCTTTTTGTGTGCTAACTCTCTAATTGCTCTGAGATTGTGTGTAGGTGTGTGTGTGTGTGTGTGTGTACGTGTGGGTGGTTGGGTAGAAGTGGGCTTAGGTGTGGGTGTAGCTTTCTTGTGGCTTTTGTCTGTGTGCCATTATCTTTTGTTATTAAAAGCTTTTAAATGCTACCTTTTCAGCAGTTTTTTTGTATTATACTCGTATATATATATTTTTTAAAAGGTTCACCTGTTTTTAGAATTGTTCACAAAACAAGCCAACCTGGCTTTGCTTGTTTAATGAGCATAAGCATCGAAAGGAACACCTGGCGCATGTGGAATATTTTTATATTGCATTTAGACATAACGCATACGCCATGTGTGCACCGTCTATTTAGAGATCGACGTCATTGCGTGACGAAATAATCGACTATTCACAAATCATCACATACTTGTTAGTTGGTTGTTGTTGTATCCAGGTGATTTATACTCTCCCCGCCCCTACTCGTGCCCTCTCTTCCACTCTACGAATAATACAAACTTGCCAGCTGAGAGTGGAAAGTGAAAGCAAGCAACTGATAAGCTTTGACGTACAACAGAGCAGACAGAATGGTGCGATTATTGCAGTATTATTGCAAAACTATTCGTTCGCTCCCTCCCTCTCTTTCTCTGTTAGTTACACTCTGGCGATAGTAATTAGGCAGGCAGCAAACACAAAGGTTGACAAATTGTTGCCGTGGCTGATGCTGACTGATGCTGTTTGCCTCACTCTCATGCTCTTGATATTTCTCAGATGCTCACATACTTTTACTCTTGCCCTCTCTGTCGTTCGCTCTCCCCCTTTGTGTGTGTATGGCACCCACACACAAATACGAACACATTGAAATGCCATTGAGATAAACACCCACATGCCTCAAACTTTGGCGCTCTGCTCTTTTAGCAGGCATCCAATTTATTTGCCGGTTTTCACTCTCACAGCCACCCACACAGACACAGGCGCACAATCGTCAGGCAACGGTCGCAGTAATAGCAATAGCAATAGCAATAACAACAATAACAGGAACAATAATAAGCGCGCACTTTTTCCTATACTTTTACCGAAGCGGCGTCTGCGCTGCTGCTCCTGTTACCGTAATTGTTGTTGCGGCTGATGACGAGGCAAACAATTTTCGACCATTTCATTTCTTCAAACACACACACACACACACACACACACACACTGAGGGAGAGACGCACACACACAAGGACGGCAACACCAACGCATCGCACGACGCACTCGCAGCCGATTTGCCTGCTTGTTTTGACGATTTTTCACCAAGTTTTCCATTTTCAATTTTCACCGCTCGTGCTAGTAGCGCATTGACGGCTCAACTGCTCGTCACGGCAGCTTTCGATTTTCGTCAAATATTCACACGGCCCGGTCGCATTTATTTTTATATTAAACCGCGCGCTCTTTTTCGACAATTGTGCGACAGGTGTGCGCAAATCTTTACCCGCTAACAAGCATACGAAAATAAACCAAACAAAAACAACAGCTCTAAGCCCCACATAATTCAACTAAAGTGCTAAACTTATCACCATATCTTAAATCGACTACAAAATTCAATAACAATCAACCATCGTTGTGCCAACAAACAAAAATATATTTTAAAAACAACATTCAATTGGTGCCGTCGGTGTTTCAAAAAAAAAAAGAACATAAAATTATTTTGCGCGACTAATTTTTTAGACATTTTTGGAATGTGTACAAAATTTTTTACCATTTAATGAGCACATTTTTTGTGTCAATTTTATAAAAAGTAAAATAAATGAAAGAAATTCATTTGATGGTAAAATTTTAAAATTTTATTAGAAAAACAAGAATATATAAATAAGAAAGTTTCTACGCCTAATCTTTTAGATTGTATTTTGTGATTTCACTTTAGTTAGTGTTTACTGTAAAAGTATTTTTGATCTGTGTATTTTCTATTACAAGTGTATGTGCAAAATTATTTATAAAGGAACAAATTATGAAATATTGTAAAAGGTATGACCATGAGAAAGAAAAGCACAAAAGTTTGAAAAACTTAAACATTGCCTTAGCTGTATTTTAACTCTTAATTTAGTTACAAATGTTAATCCATTTCCCAGCTGATAAACATGTGCGATACTATCGATAGTGTTAATGCATCCACCATCGATAGTTTCGCTGTACAGCATTACATGTGTCCATTTGTTGATATTGAAAAATTACAGGGAACAATAAACAGGAATTAATAATATATTTTTCAACATTTTTTACAAGTCCAATAATTTAATTGTACGTTATACTCCAAATGAAGCACACTGTTCTGAAACCAGCATAAGGCAAGAATACAAATATACAAGATTACCCTATTTAATGAAGAAGATTTTTTTTCAATTTGAGAGCTTTTAAAATATGGCCAAATAGGTGGGCTATTTAAATGCTTTTAGTTGTATCTTATGAATCAGTTTGTTATGGGATTATTTTTAAATTTTATATTAGCCTTCAACTAAAATATACTTTTGTCAAACCATGTTTGAGAAATGGAACGAGTTAGACATCTTCGATGAAGGCTGTTGTCGAGCAGATTAAAGGTCAAGATATAATTGTGTTCAAAAAGCCTTTGAAATCCCATAAATTCACGGAACATTTCCAACCACAAATCTATAATCAATTATAAAAACTCAAACTTAGCTAAACTTTCTTGTAAAATTGTAAATCTCCACAATTCTAGCAAACAATTATCTAAATCATTTAATCTAATGTTATTATATCGTTTTGTTTTTCCTCATTTTTTACAGATGAACGTTAATCAAAGTTTGGTGAAAAGTTACCTAAAGACTGATTAGTTGCGTGATAATACGCCGAAAGAAAATTATCAAATAAAAAAAAACGTGCAACTCAAAATTATAAATATAAAATCACAATAATCCGTCTTAAATACTCATCCATCAAAAAGTAAATCAAGTAAAGAAATTGAATAAAAAACGCAGTGCAATAAATCAAATGGAGTGGAATTTAAAGTGTTTCGGTTTTTCTTTTTATTTTTTGCTTTTTATTTCGATTAATATTCCTTTGTGTATTGTGAAAGAAGAGGGATTGTGCATTCGCGAAAATGTTGCTGACAATGCGGCGTCAGAATGAACTAATAGGCAGCCAACATACGACAAATGTTACAGGAGTTGCACAAACGCCGTCGCCACCAGTCACAGGAGCATCGGAGCAATCGGCTCCGAGTCTTAGCTTAGCAACCGGAACTGCAAATGCGAATGCGAACGCAACAACAGCGACGCAGGCGCAACAGACCGACTCGCTTAATACACCAACGACACCACTACTGAGTCTCAATCGCAACCCTTTGCAACAATTTTCAACTCCCCCTCCGTCGGCGCCGCCCATTGCGTTGACAACATCGGCCACTGGCGTTCCAACTTACGGTTTTTATAGCGCCAGCGCCAGCAGCAGTAGCAGCGTGAACGGCAACGGCAACGTTGTTAGCTCTGCTCCGGCGGCTGCGTATTTACATCATCCCCATACCCACGCGCATTTATCGCCGTACAACGCCCCACCCACAAGTGCAGCAACAAAAGAGGCAACAACCACAGACACAGCATCGCACTCAAACGATGCCACAAATGCTGTGGAATTAGACGAATACGTTGATATTCTGCAGGTGCAACAACTCCTATTGGACTCTTCAGCAGCAGCGGCTGCGGCAGCGAATCAAACAAATAACGCCTCAAGCCTCTCTCATCCGCCAACCTCTGCCCCACCTCCTTTAATCTCCGTCTCTGAGGCGCCACAAACGCTTGCCAAGCCGCGTCCACGCATCAATTTGCAAAAGGCTTCAGAGTATGCCACTCAACTAGCGCAATGTAAGTTAGAGGCTTAGAAGAAGAACACTTTTTACCAAAACCGGATATACCGCCAAGTCACCTTTCTCTTTGCAGCCGAAACGTCGCCTGCTTCGCGTCGCGTCCTACTCGACTATCCGAACCCCTATCTGTACGGCAATCATTATCATCATACATCGCCAAGCGAGGACCTAGTGGCCCTTTGGTTTGGCAGCAATGGAACAGGTGAGTCCTCCTTACGAATCGCAGCTCCGACAAAATATCGACGGCTGTCCAAACATGACTAATATTTCAGTAACTCTACTTATATAGTAAATATTAAGTATTTAATCAAATGAATTTGGAACCGACTTTTAAATAAGCCCCAAAATTAACATAGAAAGAGTACAGATTCTAAATACTTCAGAAGCGACGAAGTTGATTCAAATAAATGGACCTATTTCGGTTTTCGATTCGTTCAAACCAATTTGGTCATCTCAAATAGTACATTTGAATGAATTCGAGAATTTCGGGGCTTTTAACAAATGGGATCAAGCGGGTAGTTCTGCAACTACTTTTTATTCTAATCAGCCTTATTATTTTTAATAAATCAACATATTCTATTGACAATATATGTGTGAGTGTTCAGAAAAACGGATCAAAGTTTGAACTGTATTAGTCTGAATACAATTAATAGAATTAATCAGAACAGAACAACTACAATATATTTTACACTCCCTTAACATAATTCGCAACTTGCTTACAATATTATTAGCAGATACAATATCCATCTTAGAAGCTATAAGCTTCTATCTTTTATCTTGGAGATATAAATGCCAAATCGGCTTACAAATTGCAAATGTCAATTCAATACAGATCTAAATGATATCGGAACTTATCCGCTTGAAAGCAAAGAATGTATGTATGTAGCAAATATTATAAGTCTTGGCACTACACAATTGCCTCTTCTCAGTCAATTAAATAATTATCGTGATTACCACAGCTCCATTTTTTCAAAAAAATATATATACTATATATCTAGTCAATCAACTAGAATTGTTGAATATGTCGGTGCAATTGCTGTGTCCAATTTATTAAAACCACTAGAATAATTTCATTTCATTTCCGTGAGAAATTAGGGATCAAACGAGACACTTCTCTTCCCTATTTCCTGGCCATGTCTGCACTTTATTACCTTCTTGGCTCATGTCCAGTGGCTCTTCGTCTTGCCTCGCAGTTTTTTAATTAATATTCATAATCAACCAAGTGTGTGAATAGTTGTCATAAGCAAGTGCGCCAGGCCTATTAATAATTGTATCTGCCACATATTTTTATTCGAATTTTTTTATTGCTTATCAGCGGGCAAGGTAGAAATGAAATTATATTTTGGCCTCGTCATCGTCGGTGTTGGCTGTGGCGCCCGTCTCTGGCCAACCAAAAAAATATATATCAAGCATGGCAAAATTGCATAATTTTATGCGACAGCGCCGCCAACTTCGTCGCAACTCAAAAACTATAAATTTGCAAAATTAATCTGTGAATAAGCTGACAGCATTGGATTGTCGCCATTGCACGCCCCTTGGGCTGCGACTTCACCATCCTTAATGGCTCAATAAATTTAAATTTTTCGGACTTTAATGCAACTCGCTTACTTACATGTTTTTATTTTTTGGACATGCTTAGTAGTGGGAAAAATGGTCAGACGTCGAAGGCGCCTCTGAATTGTAAATATTAAAATGGCACTTTAACTTAAAAACAAACAGCAACAACAACAACTGTAAATCGGACGCTGGCGCCGTAGCATGAATGGTCGGCATTGCGGCTTCATTTCAAAAACTGCATGACACACAACATTTTTTGAATGATTGCCAAAAACTCGAAACTGAATTTCCAAATGATGCAGTCGACGACGAGCCGCCACTTGACTGCGCCCTTTAGATATTTTACGGTCTCGCCACGTTCTCGCGCTCGCCATGCCTCTCCCTTGTGGCAAGCGCCACAAGTCGCATGTTGAATGCAACAGGTGTTGATTGTGATTCATGTGACGCCGCACACGTTCAATCGATTATTCGTTATTCGTTCAGTTCAGTCGGTCGCCTCTTGTCTTGTCATGTCTGGGTGCCTTTAGTACGAGACCATCGAGTATAGTCTGGCCTGGTCTGGTCTGGTCTGTGGTGAACGTGTCGTTGCTGCTGCCTCTGCCTCTGTCTCTGCCTCTGACGCGGCCACTGCCACTTTTGGGCTTGTCAGTTGTGTGGTTTGCCAAAATTAAGTCGACGACGCCGACGACCACCCAAAGTGTGTCAATGTTGGCATCAACATTATGTTTTTATCGTGCGGTTTTCCAAACCTGCAAACTGAAGCTAATGGATGTATGGTTATGGGTTCAAAAGGTTACTCCAGCCAGCAAGCCGCTTTTGGCTTTACAAGTACAATGAGCAGCTGACATGGAATTGTAGTTGCTATGAACTTATTAGGTAGTGCACATTTCTGAACTCAATCGCAATAGGCCAAGAAACTCAAATCTGAATCAAGGCTAAGATCAAGAAACTATAACTTGGTTCTACTTGAATATTGTAGTGGCTGTGGAATCAAGCTCGCACTAAACTAACTAAACCCTTTGGGAATAGGGTCTAAAAATGCATGTATGTGTGTCCATTTTCATAGCAACACATTAGGCCAAGCTTGAAATTCGAAAAAAGTTCTATAAACGTCAATTTAATTCAGCAATCAGAGCATTTATATTCGCTTGATTCCCCACAACTGCTGATTGCTCGAAAAAATCAGAAAAAGCATAAGAATGGCATTACTTAATTAATATCATAAATGTGCGCCAATCTTAATTGCGCTTTCATATGAGCAGCAGCAGGAAAAAGTAAAAATAAACTCTCATGGTCACTAATTAGCCAGGAAATGACCCCGGCTGACCATAGCCAGCAAAAATTATGCGCAGACCAACTGCTGCAGCAGCACTAACTGACCCTAATCGACAGGAAGCTGACTCAATCTCAGACGGAGGCCAGCGCCACACCAAATGACAGCGCCACATTCTATGCCAATGCCATGCTAGGGGGGTGGAGGGAGAGCTGATTGTTTAAGAGCTGCCAATCAATATTCATAAATCTCTCACTCGTTTGCCTGCCGCTTTCGATTTGCTCGAAAAGTTCACCAATTAATAACGTGACCCGTTTTTGTTCACGCCAAATCAACCTGGGTGATCTGAAAGACGGCGATGGCGACGGCGACGGCGACGTTTCCACTGAAAATCACACAAAACCTTTCAACGTTTGTCAACAGCGTTGACAACAACAGCAACAGCAAAAGCAACAGCGGCAACAAAGCGAAGCTGCAGTCAAGAAAACTGCAAGAAAATTAAGGCGACGACGGCAAAAGCAATCGCGAGGTGCAACCTTTGCGCCTTGTGCAACGGAAATCGCTGACATGGACCACACCACCAGCAGCATGACCAGGCGTGGACACACTGCAAAAAATTACTTCAGACTTCCTAGTACACTTCAAGTATCTATAGAAATGAAAGTCTTCATTCCTGACTCTCTGGGTATCCTTTGTAGACTGCAAAACCAATGGAAATGAAATTTTGAAACAATTAACTCACAAGTGGGGTAAAAATAAAAATAATTCACACTGTTGAAATTCTTCTCAAAAGTCAATTAAATTCCAGTCAAAATTGACATTAAAATTAAATATAATAATTGAAGTTAAAACAGTGTTAGTTTTGAGAGAAATATGTAATGTTTTACCCACAAACAATTTTCGAATTCGGGAAGACTAAGCGCATTAGTTTTCAAAACCGTTGTATAGGAAGATATTTTAAGCTCTGAGAAATTAATGCTTCAACTAAGAGACAATCTACTTTGAATGGAACTCTTTAACTGTTGTGGATTCCTAACTCAATTTTCTTGGAGTGCAGTCGGGAGTTGGCCACTGAGCCAACAATTGCCACTGTAGCTAGCGATGCTTGCCTAATGTTTAATTAAGGTGATTGCTGGCCGGTTTGTCGGTTGGTCGCTTGGTCGGTCAGGCAGTCAGCCGATTCATGTCGTTGCAATTGTGCACTCAACTGCGCAACATCAAATTGGTTTGTAAGGATAAGACAACTTGCCAAAGCTTTTGTCAAACACTTTCAAAAAGGATGCCAAGGCGCTGCCTACCAAAGTACAAGCGAACAAAAAAGTATACTATATATAGAAATCACTGGTCAGCTTCTACTTTAATGAAGATTAATTGCAATCAGTGCGCCAGTTGAGTTCGGATTAATTGCATGGGCAATGCAAGAGCAGTAACAACAACAAAACCAACACCAACAACGAACATTGAAGCGATGATGTCTGCGCGCATGCGCAATGCTGAAGCAATTGACGAACAGTGGGATCGCAATTCCCCCCCATAGGGTTGTCTAAAAAATCCCTTTTAATTGTGTATGGGGCATTCTACCTTATATTTTATAATATTTTATATATTAAGAAAATAAATAATATAATTTAATCGTATTTGTTTTAAACAAATGCTCACAGAATTAAAGAACTATAGTCCAACTGAGTCAAATCCCGAATTTATAGTAACATTAAATACCTTCTATAGACAACTATCAAGCCATCAAAACAATCTTACCGCCATCTAACCTAACTAAAAAGTGCTTTTACAACTCTTGCCGCTCCTAGAGGTCGACATTCTACGTTTTCGCATTGAAATTTAATTATTTTTTAAAATATTCAGTAAAAAATTAGAAATGTTGAAATCAATATGGTATTGACGTTTCAGCATCGTTTCAGACAAACAAAATAGCGCAGTTAAGCAATAATATTGGATTTTGTCAACACTTTTTAGCTTTAGATTCCATGGTGCATGGAAATGGAAATGAGCAGAGAGAGTCAGAGGAAGCTACGGCTAACCATAGAAGAGTTGGCTTTGTTGTTGTTGGCCAAGCCGCAAACTGATGATGAATATTGCTGCCTTGCCACGTTTCCACGTTTGGTTCACAAGTTCACGAGACCTCCACGTAGCGCAATGCGGCGGCGCAACTTAATTGCCGTTTACATTGAAAGCTGACTGTCTGCCCAGAGTCTGTCTGCCCAGAGCCAACATTGTAGTTGTAGTTGGCTGACTTTCTGGCTGGATGGGTAACTTGCTTTGGCTGATGAATTGAATTCGGTTGCAAGTTATATTTGTGGGCCCGCAGTTTGTTGATGCATTGCGCCCACCTAGGCTTAAATTTGATGAAAAAAACTTTAAATTTGTCACAGTTAATCAATGAACAATATGCGCACAAAGTGTGCAGCTCTCATCATAATCAACTTATAATAAATTTAGGCTTGACTCTCCAATTAACATAATATCTGTGGGCCGCTCTAAAGTGTGCCACGAATGGTTATATATGCTATATATTTTTGCATTGTCACCTGCATAATGCTCAAGCTAAGTAGCCACGGGTCAAGCTGGCGCCAATCCATTCCACTTCGAAATCAAACCAAACCAAATCACATCTAATCGAAATAAATACAAACCGCACGTGGGCAGTTTTTGTGGTTTTGCGTTTCGACTGTGGCCGTAAATTGTGTTAAATCTACAAAATAAGTATATTTGTTATGACTTCCAATGGACAAGCGGTTGTTGGCTGGTGAACGTTGTTATTTGGCATCATGTGTCTAAAAATAGGACAACATCTAAGCCCATGCAGGTGTAGGCTAGACTGGAAGTAGCAAGAAAAGCTCGGAACCGGAAACTTGTACCTGAAGCTCATCAGCAAATAAAAGATGAAACATAATTTATGTCTGGCCTCTACGCGAAGGCTATGTTTTAAAAACTTATATGGGAATGTATTTGTTATTTTGAATATTCAAAAGGAGTGAAGTCCTTCCTAGATTACGATGAGCAATAACATTTTTGGCGCTATGAATGATACTTAAATGATGCTATGATAACAAATAACGAATATTTACCAAAAATAATATTTAACTGTGATTTACCTTAAACGGAGTCTACAAATTATGAAGACAAGTCTCCATGCCAAGTTTAATGCACCTAGCCTTTGAAGCTTAATAGATCTCGACCTTCATACATTCGAACGGACGGTCAGATGGTTGCACATTCAAAATGACATTGCTTTATTAAATTGATCTCTATCAGGCACATAAAATTCATAAATCGAACCTAATAGGCCTAGTGTATTTAGTCAAACACCAAGGCCAAAGGAAAGAAACTAAAATCAAAACGCACAGCCTATAAGAGAACTAAATTCAATCTGGCGAAAGAACTGAAATATCTGTAGACGGAAAAGATCTTGGTATACCAAAATGCGTGCCGTACTTTTTATGTTCTACACGATTGAAACCGTTCTGAATATATTCATAATGGCATATCATATACCTGGATTCCTGGCAATACCGGGCAACCACGCTATTACATACGATCCGCTTACCTACAGTGTTGTCTTCTACGTGGGTACCGTTCTAACCCTATTCGCCAGTATCAATATTTGCACGGGACATACGCCTCATATGTGGGTGGAGATCATTCGCACTGGATTGGCTGCATTCGCCTTTATAGTGGTCTCGCTTACAACCATGAAGGATGCGGAACAGGATCTTAATACGTTCTATGTTAAGCTCTCCGAAGATACACCGGTGCACCAATTCTTTCACTATATGCGTGGCCAGTCGATTGCTTCCCTCTGCTGTGGAGTGATGTTTTTGTTGCACTGCACCATTGTGACTGATGTGCTGCTTTCGCAGGACTCGAACGAGTTCGTGGACGACGAGGATGATGATGAGGATGATCTGGAGGAGTTAGTGAAGCTATATGCTGGTGGTGCCTATATGCATAGGCACTTGGAGAAATATGATTGGTTTAGAGCCCTAACCGATAAACGACGTTTCTCGCTATAAGTCATCCAAAATCAGAAAACATTACTTTACCGAAAAAAAAAAGAGTTTCGCGACACCCACACAAACTGCGATTTGTACACGTATTTGTCTTGGCCAACCTGTTTCACTTGTTGGCTTGTTGGCCTCTTGGCGCCTGGTGGAACTTGGTAGTTGGCTGAACGACCCACGCACAACACACAATAACAACATTTGAAAACCACAAACAATCATTAATAAAACTACGATAAACAACGAACTACACATATAAACATTTATATTGTTATAAAATTCAACTGAAATTTGTTCAGTTTTCGTAGAAAAACCGCAACACTTTGTGCATTAGCATACGAAATTGTAGAAATCGATTGAACATGTGGTTGCCCCGGCACGACAAGCTCCAGCAGCTCAGCTCAGCTCGGCGTTGAATTCATTCATGAGCTGCCGCAACAGCTCCATTCATAAAAACACATTTCTAGTTTAAGGTAAGCCACACTTGGACACCTACGAAAAATTGTGCACCACTCCCTGCTCGCTGCCACCCGCAGCTCCCCGCTGCTGATCACTTCTAGCTGCTTGCAGCTCTAGTTGCCATTCACGATGCAGTTGTCTTGGCCCGGCCAACAACTGCATATTATTTATCACATTTTGCATTTTTGGGGTCACATGTTGGCGTGTGTTGCAAATTAAATTTGCAAATTATAGGCTGTCCCTCTTGTTTCCGGTAAATGTTGTTGACGAAAGCTACACTGAAGATATTCTCCCTCTAGCTAAAAATGCCATTTGTCTAACATTTCATAAAACTAAATCATAGTCAATTGTAGAATTATCTATGTAAGAACTATTGCACACTGAAAGTAATATAAGTCTCCACAGTCGGTTAGTCTGTCTGCCCATCTGTCTGTATGAACGCTAATATCTCAAAAAGTATATAGGATTGCGTTACCAAACTTTTCTAAATGTTGATAAAGCGCAGGATTACGTTTATTTTAAAAAAATCGCTTGTTTTTGATTTTTTTTTTTCCAAAAAAAATGAAAATAATACAAATACCAAATTAAGAAGTAAATGCACTTTTCCCGATGCAACTAAAAAACAAAGCTGTTCATGGTAATTATAGTCGATCAATTAATAAAATTAACATTAACATCGCCAACATCTCATCACTTTTTCTACATTGTTTAAAAGCGGGTACACTAATCGTCCGATTAAGTAGAGGATGCATTTTTGAAGGTCCCGTGTTTTAAATATTCTTTACTAGTTGTTGAGAATTTAAATTTAAATTTACGATTATGAATGAAATAACTGTCATATTAAATTATGAATTAAAAAAACCGATAACTAATTTTTATTGTGATATACATAATTGGGCATCATTATTCTATCTACATCTTGTACTCAAGAACTAGTAAGAATAGCAAAGAAATGGTGGAACGGCGATATCCATACAAATAGTACAGTCTATTACATACACATAAAGAAATGATTAATGGTTATAGATATAAACCCAGTCTAGAGTTAAATTGTATGTTTTATAATGTACTCAAAAAAAAAACTATCAAAAAATTGTGATTTGGATAAATTTGACAAATTGGCAGAAATACATTTTGGAAAACAGCAAATTGTATGATTTAGCTCGCTAATGATGCATTTGACACAAATCAAAAAACACAGTGCACTGTTTTTAAGTTTAAACTAAAGGAAGGCTACCACCAACGACCAGAGTAGGGCTCAAGCGGCTTTCAACAATTACTGTGTTTGGCTCAAGGAAGGGCTTTCGAGATGTGTTGCAGCTCAAACAAACTTTAGCACACTTCATCACGCGTTTTAGCCAGCTGACAAGCTCAATGGGTATTTATACATACCCGTACCTAAATACTCGTATATACTCGTACATATGTGAAGGTAAATATGTAAATAAGCGAACATTAGGCTCCGGCTCTGACAAGGTACCAAATATGGCGCATTCAGCAAAATGGTTTCGTATCTCTCTCTCATTGGAACTGTCATGCAGTGCTGACATTTGAAACGAAATGTCAGTCAAGCATTCATTCAGCCAAGTCGAGCGTAAAGTCAGTCAACCATTCAGTCATTCAGTCCATCAACTGTAGAGCGGCGGCCATCTCTTTGGGCCGCCAGTTGCCAACAGACGTCTGTGGGCTGACTGGCTGGATGGCTGGCTTAGAAAATTGAGCACAAAGCACAGCACAGCGCAGAGATCATGAGATTTCCAACTAAATATGGTAGCCAAATAATTTACATCAACTTTTTGTTTATTGTTCTTCGCCGTTTTCTGCATGATTTTTAAGTTTTTATATTCGTTTATATTGTTTTTTTGTTTTTTTTTTTTTTTTTGTTATCTATTATTTTTTTCTCTTCAAAAAGTTTCCACTTCTTTGTGGGCGTTGCGCGCGCGCTTACAACCCACTCAGACATGGGCCTTTTTTGGAACCGCCGCTTTGTGGTCGTCCGCAAGTTTTGATTGGTTGCCGTCGCAGCCAAACTTTCGAGAGCTACCGTTCTCTAGCTCTGTACTATATCTTATGCCTTATGCCATATGCTGTACAATACTCGTACTATCGAAAATGTGCGTTTATCGGTATGCCAAAAATTGTAGCCCATCAAGGGCCTTCCCATCTATTCTCGTCTGCGCCATAATTTGCCGCCGCATGCCACTTGACATATTTCAATGGAGCACAACTCTCACGTAGTCAACATCGCCTTCAACATCGTCATCGTCGTCGTGGTCTTCATTTCTGACTGCAAGCGCCGCTGCTAAATCAAAAATAGCCTTTGGGACCCAGTCGAAAAGTCTCACAAATTACGCGCATATTTTCTAATGAGCTCATGCATGGCATAGATCGCCATGGTTCGAAACGATTTGGCTCGTTCGGAACACTCTGCCTCCGACTACTGACTGCTCACTGCTCACTGCTGACTTGGCTGACGTCTTGATGGCGGCTCCATGGCCTCGCTTTGCCGCCGTGTCGCAGTTGTCCTCAAGATTTATGCGTTGAGACGCCAAAATTTCCAACACCAACCGAAAAAGAAAATTTCTCAAATGGTATTTTCGGCTCTGCCAACAAATTGTATCCCTCACTGCTTCTTAAAAACATGATATTTTTATAGAATCAAGAGTTTTTCTCATATTTGTGCTAGCCTGTACTAAAAATTAGGACTAATTTCTTCTTCTTAAATCTCTCGTACAAAAAGATATGGTTATGGGTGGCATTATTTCATCTGACGTTAAAGAGCCTTAAAGAGCTTTTATGTAGTAGAATCATTTTAATAACTGCTGTCAAAGAATGGCAGAACTTGAAAATAGCCAAACAACTTGAAATACATTCAGAATTCTATAAAAATTATGACAAAATTATCTGAACGGCAATCTTCATTTTAATAAAAATATTATTGATGCACTGATCCCAAGAAACAATTTTAATTTATAACTTATTATTTTCAGTTAAAAACCGTAAATGCATATTTAAAAAATTCATATCGATGATTGTTTTAATATATTTGTTAAAGGTTAGGGTTATAATCGGGAAACACGCTTGCCTTTGGAAAAATGGCGGGGCGTTTCGAGCCGAAACTAATAAAAATGCCACGGGATAAACGCGATTCCTTTCGTAGTCTGAATAAATGCTCTCAAAAGGTAGAACAACCCATACTTTTGCAAAAAGAAGTTCCCAGGAAAATGTATACTCAAGAAAAACGCGATAACTCGCATGAAAAAGTTGACACAAACTGACGACTATTTTAAAAGTTTATCAATTACAACTTTTACAACATACACAATATACCCCATTACTTAGAGCGAAGGGTATTTAAATATATACTTTTAAATATATATTTGACGATATCGCTGGCATTATATAGAGCGTTCAACGCGTTCAATATTTTGGAGCAGAGACGCGCACGCGAATTGTGCCAAGATTTTTTTCTTAAACGCTAGGCGAGAACGACAGACAGCCTCCTCAGCCGTATCGTTAGCACAAAAGCTGTCTTTTAGCATTTTGTTCTTGTCAATGTTGAAAGATGTGGCGATTTGCTGGCAAGCAGCTAAAAGGCGGCTAATGAGCCCCCAATGGGGCGGTGGACACTTCTAGCTAAGTGATATTATTGTTTTCTGTGCGCGAGTCCACAACGAGTCGCCACCAATTTGTAGTGTTTAAATCAAATCTTGGACAGCAGCGTTGTTCCCATTCGATTCAGTGTATTGGAACGCTGTGACAAAATGTGGCACTATTTGTTGTTATTTACGAGTGGCGGCAGGTCTCACGCACTATTTTATTAATAAACTTTTCAGCGCTTTGCCACAACAAACAAAAACAGGACGAAATCAAAAAGCAGTTGAAACATAATTATGAAGAAATATACGAACATAGATATGTAAAAAATTTAGCAACTTACCTTTTTTTTGTTATTTTGATTTACTCAAGAAGCAAAAAAAAAATGGGTAATGCACACTTTCAGTTACACACTGTAAATTCAAAATGAAAATATGTAAATAAATAAATACGAGAACAAATAAAAGTAATAAATATGAATAAGTAAATAAAATCAAAATTAAATATGCGTATGCATAATAAACAATAAATACAACTATATAATATTAGTGTTTTTCAAAGCATTATTCAAGAAAAACAAGTCAAATAAATCAATTTTATTTATTTAGTTGACAAAAATTCTATTGGAAATATCTTTAAACAGTTCAGGGACTGCAGCAGACTGTCAATTTAATAAACAAAAATAATCCTCTTCAGTTTATGGGCATTATTTCTAGAATCAGAACTTTGTTTATGTGCCACATATGTCTGTTACTCGATCAAAGTTCATTTGTTTAGCAACATATCGAGCTGTGTAGCTACAAATCTGCCCACCCACTGGCACTGGCACTGACACAGCTCGGTCAATCGACTGGGCAAACCATTTATAAATGTCCACTTATGATGATGACCAGGGCGAACTCTGAGCTGCTGCTCCTTGAAAAGCACATCAATGAAAAATGACAATGACAACAACACGAACTGCAACACGGAAAAGTAAAGTTGCCAACCCCAGTACCAGCCCAGCCCCCCAATGTACAAACGCCTCAAATGCAATCAGACGAAGACGACGTCGACCGAATCGCAGTCAGGCAAATACTCCAAGCTAGACGACAAACAACAAAACTATACACAAAGCTACTTACTTTGGCAACGGCCCCCGCAAAAAATAAAAAACTAATATAAAATAA